GAATTATAGTTTTGAATAATTGATATTTAACTTATCAAGTCTTTTTATTTTTCCATGCTACCACTCCAAAATCTGCATAATTATCCCTCGCCATGATCCTCAAGTTTGAATTATGGTTATGTTTTATTTTGAAATATAAAATTTGATTATTTGTTAATTTGATTAAGGCTATATTATGTTTATCTGCTTAAACTCCGTTTGATTCGATCAATTGTTTAATATTCATCTCGATAATAATTTTATTATGTTTATATTTATATTTTTATATTAATTGTATATCAATTTGCTATTATTATAACTATTTAATTTTATAACGGTACATATATTATTAACTTAATATGATTTATTTTATGAACACTTAATTTTTTTGAAGTTCAAACTATAATATACGATAAGTAATTATGTGAACGGAACTATTTACTAAACAAATAAATACACAGAGACAAATAAATCCAATTTTTTATAGATAAACTAGAGAACTATTTATATACTAAACAAAATCATCAAATTATTTCAAAGTAATCGATTTCTATCTGCATATTTTAAAAACAACATATTTGGACACCTAATACTCCCACTAAATACCCTCCCACTAAATACTTCCCTCCCCTTTCGGTCTCTATCAGTGAGCTTTGTGAATGGAGCCCCTACCTTGGATTCTCTAGTCTCCAAGCCTCTCTACTCAGTGCTCTTTGTTTGGCTCCTCAACCTATGGAGATTGAATCTATCACTCAGGATACACAAGCTACAGTAAAATTGGGGCTAAACCCTAAAAATTCAGATGTGAATCACTCTGAGCAAGCTTCAGGATCAGCTAACGTAGTTTCTCCTACGATAGCTGCTGAAGTTACAAACTCCCCTGACATGGATAACGGTAGTATCCCAGATCCTCCTAAGGGTGTCACTCCACTGACAAGAGGACACAACAAGGATTGTCTTTAGTTGCTGATGCACTAGGTCTTCCTAAAGAGACATATGACTATTCTAAAGACCTTGTTAGCCTCTGCTTAGTTCTCTAGAGCTTGAACGAGAAAATGGCCAGACTGGATAAGAAGCATAACAAATTGTTATCGAATGGAAGGTTTAAATATAGAATCTTTGAGGGAATGGTAGCGAAACCAGAAAAAGAGGTTCCACTAGGAATGTAAAAACAAAATCGATACAACA